TGGGTTGGGGAGGGGTGGGCAGCTAATCAGCCCGTTGAGCCTCCCCGCATCTGTCCCTAAAGGGAACAGCCATGGGCCCTGGGGAACACAGTGTGAAAACCACAGAGGAGGGAGGCGACCGTCAGGCCTTCAGCATTTCTAAGGCAATGATTCTACTCAAGGGGGAAGTAGGAGGCATGTGAAACTCCCTGACTGGCTCTAAAATCTATCCCTACCTCAGCCAGAAGCCCGAGAACCTCTCTTATGACAAAAGGCACCTGGTAACACCCTAAATCTGACCAAGTTGCTCCTCAGGGCGGGCTGCAAGGCTCTGAATGACCCAGCCCCTGGCCTCCCCTCCCAATACCCTCCCTCACTCACCCTGCCCTGCACCTCACCAAGCTTGACCACCCTGGGACTATTGCACTGTTGTCCCCCCCATAACAGCCTTGAGTTATGTCTGTTAATATGTCTGTCTCCTGTCAATCTCAGAGGTCTTCCTGACAGCCCATCTAAAGCACCAGTCACATCTGATTTTAATTCACTGCCTAGCCCCACTCTTTACCCTGCCCCTTGTTTAATTCACCAAGGGTTTGTCTCCCCTGACTCCATGGGGTAGGGCCTTTGTCAAGTACACCCTGTATTTCCAACACCTGAAGCAATGCCTTTCCTCAGCTCCGCAATGCCTTCAGGATCAAATCCACGCTTCTCAACTAGACCTACCAGGCTCTACGAAGCCTGGCCCAAATCCATGAACACTTCTCCAACTCTCCCTACCCAACCTTCCACCTTACAGCCTTCAAAAAGCCTATTCCTCATCTGGGCCAAGGCCATTCCCACCACTCCTGATGGCTGTGGTGAAGATTCAATAAAAAACACATGTAAGGCCGAAACCGGTTTGGCTCAGTGGATAGAGCATCGGCCTGCGGACTGAAAGGTCCCAGGTTCGATTCCGGTCAAGGGCATGTACCTGGGTTGCGGGCACATCCCCAGTAGGAGATGTGCAGGAGGCGGCTGATCGATGTTTCTAACTCTCTATCTCTCTCCCTTCCTCTCTGTAGAAAATCAATAAAATATATTAAAAAAAAAAAAAAAACACATGTAAGAAAGAAGAGGACTTAGCAGAGGCCGACATCTGAAGAGAAGCTGGAATTTTTACTTCAAAGGGGCTCTGGGCAGCAACTATGTGGAAGACAGATGGGCCCAGGGCACTGCATTTGCCAGTTTTTATTTGATTATATGTCCCTCCCACTCCCAACCCTCATCTTGAAACCGAAGATGCTCATTTTGGCCAAGTCCTCCTCCTGATGTTATCTGACAAGGCTCTGTAACCTGAAAAGGGCCTTCAAAATTCCAGCAGAAATAGTAAGACTTACAATTGCTAAGATATCCTAGGGCTCACCATGTGTCATATACTCTTCTTCGATATGTTATTTGTAGGCTTACTGTTATGCCTTCCCAATTATCAATGCTTTCCACAAATTAACCCATTAAACCTTCACAACAACCGATCAGGGGAGAGTTTTCATCATCTTATGACACAGATGATGAAAAGGGTCAGAAGGGTTGAGAACCCGCTCAAGGTCACACAACCAGCAAGTGAAAGGGCTGGATTTGAACCCTGTGCTCTGATTCAATGCAGCTCTTTATAGAGGTTACAGATCAAGACACCAGATTCCTGGATCCTAGCTGGGCCAAGCTGAAAGGCTGGCTAGCAGGGTGCCAGAAAGAACTGAGAATGGGGGGGAGGGGGATGTTTGATGCCCTCAGTACTGCTGCCTAAGCATTTACACAGTGCCAGGCACTCTTGGAGGAGCTTCTCATGAATTAACTTATTTAACACTCACAATAGCCTGAGGTGGTTGCTGTTTTGAGCCCACTGCACAGAGATGAACACTGTGGCCCAAAGTCACACAGCCAGAACATGAAAGTGCCAGAACTTGCATACATGGCCACTACACCATCCTGTGTAGAGACCTCTAACAAGGTGCCCTGGTAGCTGGGTCACCCCCTGCATATCACTCTCTTTCCCCAGTTCCCAGCACATACTCTGCCCTGGGTTAATAAATGCTCTGGCTCAAATCTGAAGATGGACCAACTTCTACCAGCAAGCCAGGACTGCTGGACTGGCTGCCAACCGAGGTGCTCACAGTAGCCCTAGGCTCTGCAGATGAGAGGAAGGAAATACCCACAGGTGCAGCTGGCAGGGTCCAGGGCAGAAGCTTGAGGTGACAGAGACCCACTCCAGCTTGGACCCAGTGAGCTAGGAGTACATGACACCAAGGACAAGCCGACAGGCATTCAAACCCCGGCTTGACCCCCTAGGTCTGATGGACCTAGGGCAAGGTAATTCCTCCTCTGAGCCCCAATTTCTGACTCTGCAAAATGGACAGAAACACCATATTCACCCCTGGGTGCAAATAAACCAATGTCCCAGTTACTTGTTGACAAGAGGTTCACTCTGAGGCCAAACAGGGCCAGGGATTCACATCCCAACTCTACCACTTCTGGCTGTGAGACCTGGGGCAACTCATTTCACTTCAGACCAAGTGTCTCAGTTTCCTCACCTGTAAAACAGGTATCACACTTCTCCTTACCTATAAGGATCTATAAAATGGGCACAGCCAATACCCAGCCATAGAAGTATTTTGAGATTTAAATTACATCATGTGTGTAAAAGTCCTGTCATATGCCAGACATACGGTGAATGTTCAATAAACACGGCTATTCACTAGCTCTGGAAATTATCTGCCTCTCTGTGCCTCAGTTTCCCCTTCTAAAATAGATCATAACAACAGTACCTATAGTTCTAGGATGTGAATATTCAGCCAGTTGATCCATGTGAAACATTTTGAACAGCATGTGGCACACAGAATGCTCTCAATAAATGTCAGCCGTCAATCTCATGGTTATTGTTTTTATTGCTGCTGTTATCCCCATCAGGCAAACCCTCTAAAACAGTGGTTCTCAACCTTCTGGCCCTTTAAATACAGTTCCTCATGTTGTGACCCAACCATAAAATTATTTTCGTTGCTACTTCATAACTGTAATGTTGCCACTGTTATGAATCGTAATGTAGATATCTGATATGAAGGATGGTCTTAGGCGACCCCTGTGAAAGGGTCGTTCGACCGCCAAAGGGGTCGCGACCCACAGGTTGAGAACCGCTGCTCTAAAATTAGCAGAAGGAAACCAGAGAAACTAACTCCTAGAGAAGAAAATTCTAGAGCCCCCACGGCCTTGAGGCCTTGAACAGACTCAGCAACCATTCTCTCCCCAGAAACCACAATCCAGGAAAGCCCACCAGTTTGGAAGCTGATGCTGTGGACCTTCTGAACAGCTCATATTTGCTGGGTCGGTCAGGGACTGCAGCCTGCCTTCGGGAACTCCAGACCCAAGTGCAAAGGTTACCAGGCAAGCCAAGGTCACAAGCTGGCCCGGAGAGAAGGGGCAGTGGCCTCCCATCTGCAGTTGGCTGCTCCAAGCACCCACCCAGCGGTCACAGTGAGAAAGCAGAGCTGTGGGGCGTTTAGCTGTCCCAAGTCCTTCAAAAGAGCAGTCTTCCTCCCTGGCTCGGGCTGGGCCAGGGGCACCCCAACACAAGTCCCCTTGGCTATGCAAAGAGGAACAGCTGGGAAAACAGCGCTCAGCCTCACTGCCACCTAATGGTGAGGCCAACTGTTATCACCTGGTGGGGAGCGTAAACATGATGGGCGCCTGGAATGCTAACCAGGGAGACACGGCCTCACTGAGGACAGAGGGGCCGCTGTCTGGGTGGTGCCTGGTTCCTTCACATCCACCATCAACCAAGGTCAGGCCCTAACTAAACTCCCCATGCTTGTGTGAGGCAGGAAAAGGGGAGAAGGTTGAATGGCAGCCCATGGAGGACCCAAGTACTCCAGTCCCCGCCTCTTGCTGAGCCCAAGCGGCCTCCAGATCAGAGGAAGGGGGTCCTCAGAATCCCAAGGAGCAAGACGTCCCCAGCCACCTTGCCCTGGGAGAGAGGTGTCCCACCAAACACTCCTTCCTCCAAAGTCTTCAGCAAGTCCAGGAGTACAGCTCCTGAAATCCAAGCTCAGTACCCCTTCTGCTCCCTAAATGGAGCCAAAAGCTCAGAAAACTTCCAACAGTGGCTTCTAAGCTATCTCCCACAACCATAGAAAGATCCAACTTGCCACAGAGGTGTCTGTCCCACACACTTTACCAGTAAAATAGCGTAATAATATGAAAGGGTTCTGGGGTAGACAGCAGTTGTGTCCATCCAGTTCCCCACAAAAACGTAAGTTCAATAAAGGCGGATCCTCCTCCAGCTCAGGGTAAACCCCAAGCCCCACCCACCAAACACAGGAGTAGAAGCCCCTCCTGATCACTAGCGTTACTATCCTCCCAAAACTCTCCCCTCACACCCACTGAGCCTGCCCCGTCCCTCACTCAAAGCCTCCACACATCACAGTCCTCCCACTTTCATGGACGGCTGTGTTCTCAGGATGGCTCCCCCGCAGCACCCAGTGGTATAACCCAGACGGCACTACCAGGACCACACTTGGTACAGCTCCCTCCCCAAAAGCCCCCACCTCTCCCAACGCGTAACTGGAACTGTTCCCACGTCCCCGAGTAGGTACAGCCTCCTACGCTGGGTAAGGCGCGCCCCTTCAATGGCTTAGCGCTCGCCCACCAGGCACGCTCTCACTTCACACCCCACGAGTTCTACCCCAAGCCCACACATGCTAGGGCGCGCGTCCCTAGCCCTTCAGTGGTTCGGGCCTCGCACTTGGTAGGCGCCCTCCCCCCCCCCGCCGCTCCAATGGTACGACCCGCCGCCCCCGCCTCTGGCCCCTCAGGGCTAGAACTACCGCCCCCGCGCAGCTGCCCCACTCGGTCCCGGAAGGGGGGGCTCTAGGACCAAGATCCCCGCCCGGCAGGCACTGGTGGTACGGCCCAACGCGGCACTGAGGGGTGGGGGGGAACGGACGAGACCACCGCGGGGGGGTGCGTTCGGGGACACGCACTGGCGCACTCACCTGTCACCGGCAGCCGCCCAGCCTCTCCGGCGGGGCTCTGCTCCCGCCCATCGCCGCGCTGCGCTAGGTCCGCTCCTGCGTTTCCTGCCGACGGTGGCGGCTGTGGCAGCAGCAATGCCTCTCCGAAGCTAGACCAACGGGTTCGCGCGGCGCGGCCCCCCCGCCCTCCTCCGCGAGCCCCCGCTTACCGCCCCGTCCCACCCTCTGGCCGGAAATACCGCCTTCTCCCGCCACAACAGGAACTGACGTAAAAGCGAGAACTAGACTCGGAGAGCGCGAGAGCGCAAGCGCAAGGAAAGGGAAGAGGCGGACTCAGAGCCGAGCGCCTTCGTACAATAGGCGAGTTTGGGCCGCTGTGCGTTAGGGATGTGCCTCGCGCAGGCGCCAGACGGAAAGAACGGGTAGGAATGAGCAGGCGCTGTAGCTCCGACTGACGCCCGCTTTCCCCAGAGGCTAGCCGCAGTGATGTTTCCCGGCAGCCCCTGTTCCTTATTTGCATAGGCTTTGATCTCGTTTTACGCGGCTCTCGCTTTTCTTCCTGGGTCCAAGGCTCTTAAAGAGCCCTCGACTTGGGGCCAGGAGAGGTTGCCTTTTCAGTATGTCCCTCGTGGTTGAGCTCAGGCTCTGAAACCACACAAACCCAGCTTTGCATTTTCTTGCTGGGCAGAAGGCTGCACTGTTTTTTCTGTGCCTCAGTATCCTCATCTGCAAAATGGAGACAATCATATCTGCATAACTGGGCTATTGGACTATTTTATGTTAACAATAGTTTATATCAATTAGACATTCTAGGACTCCAAAATATTCTTATCTGCTCATCACATATGCAATTAAATATGGGATATAACTTTTTTATGGGGGAACTTGAACCTACAAAGGCCTTAATCACCCTGCAAGAGAAGCGTTTTTTACAAAATTCTGACCCATTTATTAGCTGATGTACCAGACACCTGTCTAAGACATCTGACTCAGTCCCTTCTCTCGTATAGGCTGAATGGAGCATGTTAGATCTTGAATTTGTGTTCTAGTATACCACACTGCTGGGCAAGTATACATTGGTTAGGGCATACTTCTCCTAGGAGGCCTGGTTGGGATTGAAGAATCCTGGGTTCACCTAAGTGTGAGAGTGTCTTGCACAAATCCTGCTCAGGGGTGAGCCTTAGATAAACCTAATGCTGGAACTAGGCCTTAACTATGGGTTTTCAGATTGGAACTCACTGCTCTGTATTCCTAATTCATGGTGTTGCCCCATCACAGTGTCGATAACTCTGACCAATGCTTACGCCACCACAGCCCTAACCATTTCAGTCTTACTGTCTGGTGACAGGTTTCTCTCCTTCACTGCACAGAGTCCCAAGACTGAAAAGACCAGGACAGTTTCAGTCATCACTGTGTACTTAGCAAAGGGCCTGGCACAGAGTGGGCCCTTGGGGAATAATTGTTTCAAGAATTAGCCCTTCTGCTCCAATCTGGACTCAAGGTTACTGTGGCCTACCCTCTTTGCTCCTCTGCTTACAGCCCATCCCCCTACCTCTAAGTCTTCTTGGGCAACTCAAATCCCAGCCCCTCCTAGGGCACAGGATGGATTATCTCACTGAAACCTCCAGTGCACTTGTGTCTAAACTGTTGGAGTCCTAGTAGTCAAAGGTAATGACTTTCAAACTATTTTAAGGCCTACTACAGACATATGTGTACTTACAGTATAATGAAACAAAAGTCACCAAATACTACTTACCCTTATGAATGATGCTCTCTGATATTTTTTTCCAGTGCTGTTTGAGACCCTGCTGAACTGATTTTCTGACCCACTATTGGCTCATGCCTTGCAGTTTGTAAAACCACTCGTCTAAAGGTGAATAGTTCACTGGCTTTGGAGATGGACAGGCCCTAGTTCTAATCATGCCTTTCCTATGTCCTTGTCAAAATAACTTCACTTCTCTGGCCTGGCCAGTGTATCTCAGTGGATAGAGCACCGGCCTTCAATTCCTGGTTGGGGCATATGCCCTGGTTGCAGGCTTGATCCCCACTTAGGGGCGTGCAGGAGGCAGCCGATCAAAGATTCTCTCTCATCATTGATGTTTCTATCTCTCTCTCTCTTCCTCCCTTCCTCTCTGAAATCAATAAAAAGTATATATTTAAAAATATATTTTTAAAAAATAACTTCACTTCTCTGAGCCTACCTTTCCTCATTGCAAAATATCAACAGAATTTATTTAGTAGTTGTTATGGGCCAGGTTCTGTTCTTAACATAGTCCTGCTGGTGCTATTCTATTCCTATCAACATGATCTTGGAGGTTAGTGCAGCAGTACCCGTCCCAGGAGAAGTTAGGGATAGAGGTGGAATTTGAACCTGACAGTCTGATACAAGAACCTGTGATTTGCACTTATATCATGCAGAACGCTGGGAAGTATGGGCCCTACTCTTGTCCCCTGCGTGCTTTGGGAAACCACTTAATTATCATTCTCAGCCTCACTCTCTCAATTTCCACATCAAGGGTGATTGAGGAGAAAATTCCCTAAAACCACAAATTGTTCTCTACCCTCTAATCTGTTCTGTGAACTTCCCTCCCATAGCTATAAATATGGGCTGCCTGTGCATTTTTCTGGGGAGAAGGGTCGGTAACTTCTCATCTGAAGTCTACGTAAAGGCCTCTTGATTCAGAAAAAAATGACTTAAGGATCCTGCCTTGAGGGATGAAGAAGGCATCTCCTCAAAGCCCCCTTATGTCCAGGCAGCAGACATTTCAACCCTTCTCACAAGAGACTGGGCTCCCAGTGGTGCTTGGACAAGCTGCACGGACCAGCTCTTAGGATCCCCAAGTGGGGAGGCTTCGACTCCATTCCCAGGAGGTCTGGGGGTCTGACCCTGGCAGTGGTGGAGGTGGCTATGAGGCAGGGAACCCTCCCTGACACGTGGACATACAGGAGATGAAAGCAAGAGGAATCCTACACAGAGCTTTTTCAGGGGAGAAATCCCATAGCATTGATCAAATTCTCAAAGTCTGGCACTGTTAAGAAAACGTTTTTATTTAAAAGCATTTCCTGCATTATACAGAAATGTTGAAATATCTTTGACTCCCCAGCCAGAAGTTACTAAGCTCCACCCGAGATGCTACTGTTTTGGGAAGATCCTTTAAAGTCATCTTAAGTGTTTGGCACAAGTACAGATAAGGCTCAGGGATTCTGTAAATGTTGGTTCCAATTTTCTTTTTATGAAATATGGTTCTCTTCCAAAAATTGTAATAGAAGACACCATGCACATTCAATTTTTTAACACACGGGAGATTCCCAGGACATTTTGGTGGTTGTGCTATGCTAATGCACTTTGGGGCAGACCTTAGAATAAAACTTTTTCTTCCCTCAAGACTGAACACCTTATGGATCTGCTCAAACACATAGATGGCTTCCCATCCCAGGTGGAATAAGAACTAAAGGCTTCACCAGGGCCTTCGGGCCCTACGTGATCTGTGCCTGCCTATCCTTCTAACTTCATCCTAAGCTACTCTTGCCCTTGACCACTATGTTCTAGGCACACTAGCCTCTCCTGTGCCCCTCTAAGAAGACAAGCTTATTCTCACCTCAGGGCCTTTGCACTTGCTGTTCCTTTTGCATGACTGGCTTCTCCTTGTTTTTCAGAACTCAGTTCAAATCTCACCTCTTTGACTTTCCCTGGCCATCCCAAATCCAAAGCCAGGCTGTCACTGTCTCTTTAGATTTTCTGAATTCCCTACCTAGCATTTAACACTGAATAATTTTTTTGTCTATTTTGTAATTGTCTTCCCCCAAACCAGAATATAAATTTTCCCAGGAGAACAAAGACCTTGTCTTGGGCACCACTGTCTTCCCAGCTCCTAGAACAATGCCCAGCACATAGTTAGGAATTGGGGATCCAGAAATATCTGTTGACTGACTGTGGTTTTTATTAGGAAGGTTAAAGTTCTGAACTGGGGTGATTTTTACTTCAGGTCTGAACTTGTCTACTCACAAAAAGTTGAACACATACTAATAATCTCTTAACCTTCACTGAAGAACTCCTACATATTAGGCACAACGCTGGGAACTATACATGACCTTGTTAAACGTTCCTGCAGGTGGGAGTCTCTGTAAAGCCTATTTTGCAGAAGTAAATTTAGGCCCAGGGAGGCCAAGTATCACACAGCCGGAATACTGCGGTGCCTAAATCCACCCCAGAGATGTCTCAGGCCAAGCCCACACTTTAACCCACAGCACTGGACTTAACCTGCCCGGGGCCAGAGTGAGATACAGTAAAGTCTCATTTTATACTAAGATAAAGTATATGGATTTGAAACAGCAAAGTACTTAAAACACAGTCTCCCAATTTATTAAGAAAAATGGAGACGATATGAATATCATCTCTTTTTTAGGCCACCAGGAAGGGCATCATCGTCATTTTGTTGGAGCATCGTCCTCATACCCCAAGACTGCCAGTTCGATCCCTGGCCCGGGTACATACAAGAGTCAACCAGTGAATGCACAAGTAAGTGAAACAACAAAACAATGTCTCTCACTCCCCCCGCTTCCCCTCTCTCTCTCTAAAATCAATTAATAAAAATAATGCCCAGCCGGCGTGGCTCAGTGGTTGAGCATCGACCTATGAATCAGGTCACAGTTCAATTCTGGTCAGGGCTGTCAGGGCACATGCCTGGGTTGCAGGCTTGATCCCCAGGAGGCAGCCGATCAATGATTCTCTTATCATTAATGTTTCTCTCTCCCCTCTTCCTTCCTCTCCGCAATCAATAAAAATATATTTTAACAAACAAACAAATAAGATTTTTTCATAGCTGCTCTACAAGGTGACTTATAAACTCTATTTGAGCTGTTGCCACAAGATGGCACCACATGCGCTAGTCATCCTGGCTGGAACTCCCGCTGAGTTGTAGGTTGGAGTCAGCCGCAAGATGGGAGGCCTTTGTACTGTTATTTAAACATTCACTCTTTAAAAGTAAACTGAAACCACTCTGACAAGCAACACCACCACACTTTGTTGGCGGTTTCTTTTGCTGTGCAGAAGCTTTTAGTAGTCCCATTCATTTATTTTTGCCTTTATTTCCCTTGACTTTGGGGTCAAGTTCATAAAATCTCTAAGACCAAGGTCCATAAGTTTAGTTCCTATGTTTTCTTCCATGTAATTT